ATTCCGATCAAAAGATTAAGGGTGAGTTCTGGACGCGTGAGTTACCGACCCATCGGTACCACACCTACACTCCCCACCGAAACCCCCTTGATCGTTCCAAGTTCACTAACAATGTTATTGAACCGGGAAACATTGTAGCTAATAAGCGAATGTCGCAACTGCAGACACATCCGCTTAGAAGCTACATCAGCAAGAATATGACTATGTCAAAGCATTGGACAGTTGGCCGGCTGAAAAATCATAACGTAAACAAATTTTGCTAGCTTAGATATATATATAAGACAAAGACATTTTTCAGTATTGTACTCACTCTTTATTCATATTCGCTAACAAAAGGTCATGTTTCTGTCCAAAACATATTTCATATACTTGAAAATAAAAATATCAAAGAAGAAATAGAATGCTGTATGTTTGGAGAGAGCAATTGGAAGTTTGAGTCTTATTTGGAATTTTATCTACGTCACCTGGGCCACGACTGGCAGATCCAAGAGGACTCCCACTCAATTGGTGACTCGTGCCGTTGGATTTGACTTTTTAGGTCCTTATTGACTGCACAGCTGAAAGGTTTTCTCCGCAGTTTGCAGACTTTCTCAACCCTTAGTATATGAAATAAAATAAAATAATTGACGCACTGCCTTGTTTGCGGTAAAGGGCCAATATTGGGATAGAATTATGATGAGTATAGCCGTAGAACCTGATCCCTGTGTGTTGCAAAACCTACAGATGTATCCGGACGCTCGGATCAAGGCTGCAAATGAATTCGCGTACTTTAAACACCCTAAGTATCCGTGATTTTATGAGCAAGACTCTTGGAAGATGTTAAGCTCGGTGGAAAGTTGGAACGTATTACCATTCCAATTGCCAAGTCAATTCGTGAACTGCAACAGGTCGGATAGCCACAAACACGTTAAATCATGATAATAGCAATTTTTCTCTAGAAACGACATATACCAGGGTGGGTGTACTTTGTTGTAGTCGTGTAGTTTGTTGTGAAGCCGGTTGCTTCATCGTCATATCGTAATTGTAAGGTGCATTTGAGCACCAATTCCATAATTAAAATAGCCCTTGGACAATATTGCGGAAGTCTTCTGTATTAAGGTAATGGACTCTTTTATGTATCTGGCACCAGATATAATATCATCAACGTAAAACAACCAACTACCTGCACATCTTATTACATTTATCAATAACATAGGAACAGAGCCAACTATAGGAGTTTATCAAATCAATACGACATAAACATTGACTCCCATGGCGATAAAAATCTTTATCACGTTTCCGATCAATCACCCATTAGTTCTAAACATTTCCCACGCTTTGTCGTGGACAGCAGACATAAAAAATGTTCAAACTTTTAAGCAAAGGGTTCAGCCTGTGAACTTTGACCGATCCAAGTTTATTAAACAAAAGATTCAGCCTAAAAACCTATTCATCAGATCCCAGTTTTGAGCAATCGAAATCTTCTGATCAAAGTCCATTTTCGCTGCCAGCGTCGCTGTCCCCGACACAAGTCATAGTTTTAAGAATAATGCTTTTGTAAAATCAGTTTCACATTGGGGTTCTAACTAAAAAGAATCTTAGCAATAAAACTACGCCAAAATACATTGGCTCTTTTTATAAAATAAATTTTCCCGATCTTTGTTAATGAGAAGTATTCATCAGGACCGGAAGGAATTGAGGAACCCTCTTAAATAGCTAGTTTAACAGCGCAACGCCTCCAGATCAAATTACGTAACGTAAATTTGTTAAATAATTAGAAGAGCGTACAAGTTGAATATGTTGTAAACTGAGCTAAGGCAATCCGCCAATCAATCACAGTCTTAATTTAAAGAACATTGAGTGAGTGGTTCGTGAAAGTAAATTACCATTCAAAATCTTTGTCATGTTGAGTAAATATGATATTTCAACACTCATATTAAAACAAGAGAGAATGCTATAGTCGAGTTCCCTGACTAGCCAGTGGAAGTGCGAACTAGAAATTTCAACATTTTCTGGAATATCGGTTGAAATGGGGGAAAAAATAATAATATTAAAACAACTTAAATATTTTTAAAATTGTTTTTGGGTGCCTTGTGAGCTTCAGGATCGCATGGTAAGAAACTTTTGGCAAATCTATAGAAGAAGATCTATAAAAAATGAAGAAGTATAACAACTTTTTTCGAAAGTGACAGTTTTGGGCGGTTTGTGGGTGTTGGAGTGGGCGTGGCAAAATTTTGTTTGTCAAACCGATAGAAATTTACAAAAAAAATTAACAAATTTTAAAACATTTTTCAAAAGTGTGGGTGTGGTAGCTTTGGGTGGTGAGAGTGGCCGTAGCAAGAAGATTTTTGGAAAAACGAAAAAAATTACAAGGCTAATAAAAAAATTTTAAAAATACCAAAACATTTTTTTGAAGGTTTGTTGGCGTTATCGGTAGTGCGACGAACAACGCAGCACTTCGAAGGGTCGAAATCGGGTAGCAGTAACTTCGACATCGGAATAGAAAACGCGTCTACTTGCAACGAATGGTGATCAGAGAATTTGGGTGGTTTGTGGGCAAACATTTTTTTTGTATATTGATAGAAATTTATGTTTTTATTTATTGCCAACTTTGGAGATACGATTAATCTCTTCGGCACCTCAGCTGTGCGCTAATCCTATTTCATTATCTAAACTCGCCTCTCCCGTACTCTCTGACTATCTCTTGTACTCACGCGCTTGTACTTTTGGCTTAGCGTTCTGCAGTTATCGTATATGTATATCAATCGATTCCGTAACTCATGCACACTCAGTTGAAATCGCTTCACGCATAAACCGTCCTTTCATTTCGCAAGAAATAGCCTTTAAAAATACTGTTTAGCTCAACAATACCCTTATACTCCACGAGTAACGGGTAAAGCCCCGTAAAAGCAAATCGTTTTAAATAACTGCGATAAAAGGCAGAGATCAGCTGTTGCCAGATACGAATCGAATAAGGGAAGTTCCTCGACTATCAGATGCCTGTCACTCAGTTAGAAGGAGTGAGAACAAGAAATTTCAACATTTCTCTGAAATATCGGTAGAAATTGTGAGAAAAAAGAGTGGGCGTGTCAGTTTTGGGCGGTTTATGGTCGTGGCCAACATGTTTTTGTATACCGAAACAAATCGGCAACTCGAAAAATAAAATGAAAACAAGAAGGAACACTATAGTTGAGTACCCCGAAAATCAGATTCACCTTTACTCAGCAAGTGGAAGTTCAAACGAGAAATTTCAAAATTTTTCTGGCATATCGAAATTGGAAAAAACAATAATGAAATAAAACAAGAGAGAATAGTATAGTCGAGTTCCCCGCCTATCATACGCGTTATTCAACATTTTCATTGTTTCAACATTTTCTGGAATATCGTTAGAAAATGAGGAAAAAAAACAAGATAGAATGTTGAGTTACGCTACTATCAGATACACGTTATCAGATACTCAGCTAGCGGAAGTACAAACTAGAAAGTTCAAAATGTTCTGTGATATCAGTAAAAAGTGGGGAATATAATAATAAAATGGAGTAATAAAATAAGTGAGGGCGTGAGAGTTTTGGGCGGTTTGTGGGCGTGACAAAAAGTTTCTTGGCAAATCTATAGAAATTTACAACATATAATATTAAAAATGTGAAAAAATATCACAACTTTTTTCAAAAGTGTGCCCATAATAGTTTTGTGCGGTTTGTGGGCGTTAGAGTGGGCGTTACAACATTTGGAAACAAACTTGCGCTGCGTCAATGTCTCTGGAATCTGCATGCCTAGTCTCAACTTCCAGCTTTTATAGTTTCTGAGATCTCGACGTTCATACGGACGGACAGACAGACATAGCCAGGTCGACTCGGCTATTGATCCTGATCAAGAATATATATACATATATAATATACATATATATACAAATATATATATACATATATCTTTGTTCTGGAGTCGAAATATAATCTTTTGTTAAGCGCCAATCTTAATAACAGACATTTACTAAAAACCTACGCCTGTAAAATCCTTCAACAAAATAAAATCTTAGCCGGTTTCGCTTAAGGGGGGAACTACCTTTATATGCCGGAAATATGTCTTCTTTGCAGTCGATTTGTAGGTAAGTTCTTTTCAAATCTATATAATAATTATTTAGCGTGATGCCTAAGGTAATAAGAAAACATTTTTGCAAGGACCTTGTAATTCATATCGCCGCTGACATCGTAAATTGTGTAAGTGGTGCTGGGTACAATTTTCATCTAAAATCATCAAACCAAACATTTTCTTACTTGGGAGGGTATTTTTATCGTCGATGAGCAAAAATGTTTGCGAAATTAAAAAATTAATCTTGTCAAACAGGGTTCGAAAAAATATGATTTTTTTATCCGTTTTGTAACAGTCTTATAAATTTCGTAAATCGATTTGCCAAATAACTGTTTGAATTTTTTTGTTTCCACTAGCTGGGTAACGGATAACTGATAGTCTCTTGTTTGCCATTATATAATATATGTAGGTGCTGTTTTACGAGACTCAGGTTCAAACCACCAAAATAGCCGTTTACATTGACGATTTTCGCGTACCATTAAGAAACGCGGTAGAGGGACTGTCGGTGCCCAAAGCTGGGGTGCCAATTAAGTAGGAAATATTATGATTCTTGAAGCGTAAAATATAGAATGCAATTATTGCATTTACTGCAGATAAGGGATCATGGGATCTTTATTACATCGATGTGATCCAAAACGAATCCAACGAATCTGAGAAAAACATCAAAGTTTGAAAAATTTGGTTTTCGGTATTATTGAAGCCCAATAATAAGAAAAAGAGTCCTTAGTCTAAAATGTTTGCAATAATTTGCGATAGATTAAGAATCTATGGAATCCAAATTTTTCCCAGTGCACTAAAATATCGATTGGATAAATAAAAGGACACAATCTTGATTTTATTTCAAATAGTTCCTCAATATGTGATTCTTGAATAACCTTTGAATGGACTGGATTTTATTAGTTTTATTTTAATCAATATTTCAATTAGTATTTTGTAGTATTTTCCTTACCTACATACACTTATCGATCATAGCAACCACTTTGTTATTTTTTTAAACATTTGTGACGTTCAAAAAATATACAACTCAATTTCCTTACGAAGTCTGAAATATATTTCTTTTTCAACATCTAAAAATTAGCTATATTAAAAAAATGTCTGATACTGAAGATATTGATTGTGATTTTCCCATTGTTTTTGAGCCTAATATTGAGCCATCACCTGAACCTGAGGAAATGGCCCTTCTTCCCCCAAATCACCCACTACTTAGCAAGTTTCAGGACTGTTTAAGGGGTCACTTAATACGTACTAAACATGATATAGAAAATGAAATTGCAGAAATAAAACACCATGTTAAACTGAGAGAACAACGACGAGAAGAGCAAGGTTTGACATTGTATGACATGCAACAAAAAATGAGATTTCAAGAAAAACAAATTAAGGAATTATCCGCTGTTATAGAAAAGCATTTAAAAAATCGCCAAGATGAAGAGTTTAATACAAAAACTTTAAGAGCGGATAACGAAGAAAAAATTAAGTTAACTAAGTCACAAAAATCGCTTTATCATGAAAGAATGGCAGAGCTAGAAGACATGCAAAGTTTAGGAAGTAACATCAAAAAATGGGCGTTTACCGTAGAAGATGAAGTAAAAAATGCCAAACGCATTGTTAGTAGAGACGCCCAATTGCAGGACCAGCTTTCACAGGAAAAACGAAAGTCTGATATACTCTTTTATCGGTTAGATATAGAAATAAAAAAGAGAGAAAATGAGTTACTGTCAATTTGTGAAGAAGAATCTACAATGAAAGAGGTGATTAATATTTTAAATATGAGCATAGCAAATGCCAATACAGATTTAGAGGTTTTGCAAAATGAACACAAGCGGCTAACACAGGCTTGGAATGAGGTTATTATAGCCATTCAGTTGAGAGACAAAATTTTATTTCAAGTACAAGACGCATCTAGGTAAGTTATTCATTTGAATTTTTATTTAAAAATGTGATATATTTTTAACATTCCTCTTAAGAAAACACAGGGAGGCAATAAAACACAATATAGCGGGAATAGAAGCTATTAAAAAACAAATTGGAAAGGAAATGGAACTTAATAAAAAATTGGATTCATTTAAGCAACGGCTGGCAGATGAAACTAATTCATTAGGAAGGGAATGTAAGTATTTCATTAAAAATATATCTAGTTATCTAAATAAAATACCTTTTTATACCAGTTACTTTTTGACACGCCTACCCTAACGCCCACAAACCGCCCAAAACTGTCACGCACACACATTTGAAAATTTGTATATACGTTACTAGTAGTGTAAAACGGTATACTATATTCGTTGAAGAGTATGTACCGAAGGAAACGTTTCCGACTATATAAAGTATATATATTTTTGATCAGAATCAATAGCCGAGTCGATATGGGCATTCCCATCTGTCTGCCCGTTCGTATGAATGTCGAGAACTCAGGAACTATAGAAGCTGAAATTTAGAATACATAGAAGAAGCGCAAGTTAGATAAATTATGTTTCACGCCCATTCTAATGCTCACAAAACGCCAAAAACTGTCACGCCCACACTTTTGAAAAATGTGATATTTTTTTATTTTTATGCACTCAAAATTTTTATAGATTTTCCAAAAAACTTTTTGCCTCGCCCACGTTTAACAAATTTTAAAATTTGTTTTCATTTAATTATTTTCTCTCCAATTTCTACCGATATTCCAGAAAATATTAAATTTTTTCGTTTGCGGATATCTGATTTCGGGTATCTGATAGTCGGGGAACTCGACATATCTTGTTTTATGACGCATAACTTGTTTTATTATAATATATGTATTACTTGAATAAATTGTGGCATTTTAAAACTAATAGCTCTCATAACTTAACCCGTTCTCCGAATATTAAAGTGAATAATAAACGAGTGCTGGCCAAAGAACAAGTTGCACTTGCAAGGTGGAAATTCAAATAGACTCATTTCCACGGTAATCGATGGATGTTTAATTTCGATTTCGAAATTCAGATCCGAAATATTCCGATTAATTTGGGATCAGTGTATACATATATGTTTGATTGAACAACATTTACCGTATTGCCAAAGTTGTTAAGCTTGTTATTACTTTCAAAATTGTAAAAATATGACTTATGTACATTGCGACAAGGATAAGGGACACGACAAATGTGCATTTGTTTTGTTCAATTTTATCCGCTATTATACTCAGTGTATTAATATTAAATTTCAGCAATCTGCTCCTTTCATTAGATACGCTAAATATAATATATTATTTATATCTGGCCAATGACTTGAATGAATTGAACTAGAATGGACTTGCACATTATGTAATTGGAGTTTCAAAGTGTTTTGCATGGATTTTTAGTGAAATTTTGAGTTGGTGCTGCGAATTGGTTTTTCTATTTATTGGTTTCCAAAGCCTTTATTATGGTTGTACTCCTGTCAGTCACACTTTTTTTTTTCTTCATTATTGTAAGGCAAACATCGTTTAACATGGATTTGAATTTCTCACGAGGCTTTACCTCTGCTGTTCAGCACTGTTCTCTATTCTCTTTTAGTTCTTCGACTTTCAAATATTTTTACTTAATTAGTGGAAAGGTAGTGCAAAGGAAATATGTAAAATGTCTGCCACATCGAAATAATACAAATAAAATACATTTTTGATAACTGTGGGCGTGACAGCTTTTTGCGGTTGAAGGGCATAAAATATAAATAAAAATTGGCAATACAAATGAAAAACTTAAATATTACAATTTTTGTAAATAGTATACGCGTAACACTTTTGGAAAGTTTGAGGACGAGGCCAAAAGTTTTAAACATATCGATAGAAGTTGCCAGCGCAACTTTTACGAAAGCGTATAACAGTGGTCAACAGAGTTGAATGGCACTTTTTAGTCGTTAAGGTCATCAGTTTTTTCTTGGGACTTTTTAAAATTGTGTTGCATCTTGAAAGTAAATAAATAAAGATAGCTTTGAGAGGCCGAAAAATATAAACCTACGTGTATGTGGTATTTATAAAATTAAAAAAAAAAAAAAAAATTAAGTTCTACTAGATTAGTTAAAAGGTCGTTAACAGCGCTGTGATCTCGGGAACTATAAAAGCAGAGGGCTCAGATAAGCACGCAGATTCTAGTAACTATTACTCAGTGCAAGTTTGTTTCAGATGGTTGCACAGACCGCCCAAAACTTCTGGGCCCACCACCTTTAAAAAAAGTTTTGGTTTATTTTCCTATTAATATTTGTCGTACCAATTTCTATCGGTATACCAAAAATATATTGGCCACGACCACTCTAACGCCCACAAGCCACCCAAAACTGACACTCCCTCACTTTTGAACCTTTTTTGCATTTTATTATTTTTCATACCAATTTCTATACAATAAATGTAGCACTCCCACTAGCTTAGTAACGGGTATAGCATTCTCTCTCATTGTATCTAACTTGCTTTTAAAGTTGATGACAGCGTTTGTCCACACATGAACACGCATATTTAGAATTGTATTGTATTGTATTGTATTTAGATTGAACCGCTGAAGCAATGTGAAACATTTATCTTTTTATATATTAATATAGATATATGTATATTAGATATCTGGGAAGGTTTCACGAACACCTGCGTGGGTTCAACCCTTAAATAAAAATAAGGAATGTCGTGCAAGGGAAAATTCTCACACCTAACATCTTTTCCCATGTCTGGGGAACATATAGCCACTGCGTTGGTCTAGTTAGAGATAACACTAGAATATGTGAATTTCATGTTAGCCAGTTAGAGATATCAACGCAACATATGTAGATTTTTGATTAGAGAGTATTTCTGTGTACAAATCCATCATAAATAAAGAATGTGGAGCCAAGGACACTAGAATAACCATTGGATATACAACCTCCCACAATTTCAATTCATCGTCTTCCTGATATTAAATTCAGGTTTGTTGTTGAAACTGCGTTACACGGTTTCGCGTTATTGTCGAGGTTTTTATTAAAACTTAACACTATATTGACCGTCGCATGGGTCTCTAAAAGCTGTTTTTTCGATAGCGATTCAATAGAATTAACACTATCACGACCGACTGCGCCAATTACGTTTTTTATTTACTTTTGAGTCTATTAAATGGTCAGTTGTAGTAACTAAGACCAACGATGTAACCGAAGTTTTGTCAAATAAATGAAATTACAAATCGGGTTGGATTATAATATTTATTGTTCAGTGTTCAGCTTAAGACTAAAAATCAAATGCAAGTGAGATTGAGGAGAAGCCTCAGTGTTTTAGGAATATTGTTTTTTGGGAGAGCATTGCTCTTGGATACTTAAGTCTGGAAGAAGCTTCATAGAGAGCAGGTAAAGCTGCTTAGAGCAGGCTTTAGGATTTGTTTACAAGAACGGCAAAGTGCCGATGCCCAATAATTGTTTATTAAAACGCTTACTGCGCAAATGGCATATATGTAGTATGTGAATTAATAAAGTGCTTTATTGTTTATAGTTCTTTGAAATAATTACATTAGCCGGTTTGGGTGGCGCAAATACATCACTATATGTTCACACATGAACACGAATATATTTAAAGACTTACAATTTTGGGCTCCGTTCATATCTTATGTAAATGAATCGAGAGCGATAATTTATATTTAGGATTTTGTTATCTAAGGCGACATGGGTGCAGTGCTCAAAAACATGTAATCTAAGTGCACACTACCTGAGTCAGTCACTTGAGATCGTTCCCCGCCTCCTAAAATAGTCCCTTAGTGGGAGACCACAGATAAGGTCCTCGCCGCTCAAGATAGGCAGATGTGCCGGAGCGTGGGACCTCGATAAGGCGGGGACTACATACTTAGGCCTCTGCGTAGGCCATTTACTCTAAGATGCGATTCTCATGTCACCTATTTAAACCGAAGATATTTCCAAATAAAATCAGTTTCTTTCAAAAACTCAACGAGTAAAGTCTTATAATTTGGGATTTTACACTATATATGTATGACAGTGGCGGCTATATACATATATGTAATTATATGTTGGTAATTTCCATAAGTCAAAAAAAAATATAATTTTTATTAACTGAATAATTACAACACTTTATTTTTGGAGAACACCGACCTTCTTAATTTAAGTCTCAAACTGAACTCTTCTTATTGATCTAGATTGATTAACGTTCAAGCCTCGGGTTCGAGCTTTTCAAATATGGACTTTGGATTTTTAGGATTAGGGAGAGAGCTTTGGAGTTATCAGCATTTCTCTTGGATTCAAGTGCGTTCGCTCTTGCATACAAGTGCTCTTAGATTCTTAAGATTTTGTTTATTTGAAATTTAAAACTTTTGTTTTCGAGTTTGCGAGTCCGAACTTTGAACGTGGGAACTTGACAATTAGGCAAAGGATGTTTAGTCTACCAATGGGTGACTTGTTTAAATAACATCCTGTATTCGTATTACTTGGGGGTTTTCCGCTTGGCTTTGGTTCGGGGATTCTGCTGACGAGTTTTTTCTTATCTAGGGGCTGAGTACATAAAGGGTAATATGGGGTATGCTGATTTACAATTGTGAGGTATAGGGTAGTAGGCATGTGCTTAAGTCTAAGGGACTTATGGATATGTCACTCCCCAAACCTTTGTATTTGGTCTGTCGTCAGGTCACTAAATTTGGACAATTTGGGTAAAACATAACATTATGTGATTGAATTAAATTGTTTTCTGATTGAATATTATCAATAGTTACTGGGTGCGGATGTTCTTCTTTTGGTTTACAATATTTTATCATTATTTTCTTAGGTATATTTTTAAACTTATATGTTGAGTACAGAATGAGGCATATAGTTGTAATTACAAAAGTTGTCACACATATTATTTGGAATACATTGTAGTATTTTACGTGTGAATTTATTATTTCCTTGGTTTGTAAATACTCTATGGGTTCTAATTTTGTAACATTATTAGTAATGTAAATTGTTTGTGTAAAATCTGCTAGATTGTTTGAAATTATGAATTCATCAATTTGGATTGTAAAATTTTGAATCTTTATTTCCTTTCTTTATTTCCTGATATTACAATTTTGTTGTTAGTGCAATCTTGATTGATAGTTGTTTCTGGTAGATTCCATGTAATTAGTATATTCCGTTCTATGTAATTGATCTGAAAATTTGTATGAGTCTTAGTGTATTTACACTGAG